TTTTTTTTTTTTTTTTTATCTCTGGTTCTGCATGTGGCTTCTTTTGTTGCAAAAAAACATTTTAGAAAGAGGGACCAGTCCTACGGGTTGTGATTCTTACTGGTTTCTATCAAGTGAGTGCATGCAAGAGACAAGATATTGAGTCCATTGCCCTGTGGCTTTAATTGAGCAGAGAAGTATCACATGTGCAAAAGGGAAATACTAATCACTTTCTTCCAACAAGGGCAGCTGCAAGATCTGTTGCTAATACTCATCAAGTCTGTTACAGTATTGAAGGGATATGCAGGCAGAATGATTAACGCATCTTACAGTGGCTGCTTGAGACTTAAACCTGCTCCAGACTCGTGCCAGAGGTTGTCCCCAGTCAGCCCAGCTATAAATGGGCACCTGGTCACCTTTACTTTCCTTCCAAATGACCAGGTATGATGTCAGCTGCATCACTTTAGTACATGCTTACACTGCTCAAGCCTTTGGGTTGTCAGGCGTATGAGGACCTTTGGCCTTCCTGCACTGTGCTAGTCCCTGGAGCTGAGTAAAAATGAAGAGCCATTCTGCTTCAATAAGCCTATGTGTTTGTGTCTGCAAGAAGGCAAAAGTCCAGTAGTAATTTGGTCAGTGAAGAATTCAGATGTTTTGCAAGGAGTGTATGTGTTGGAAGGAGTGAGCTAACTCCCTCTTCCGTACCAGCTCTGCTCCCTGACATGTGCTCAATAAATCCTTTACTTTTCAAGCAAAGGGAACTAACAGAGAAGGAGAAGAGGGGCGGGGAGGCAGGGCTGCAGCTCATCCCCCAGGGCCTTGACCCAAACATACAACAGCCATATCAGCTTCATAGTGTGCTTTGAAAATCTTAACCAGGTGCCTGGAGGTGCAGATACTGCACTGGATGAGTGAGTGGTCAGTGGGGGGTAAGCTGCAGTTTGATTTGCTTTTGGAAGACTGGGATCAGTTCAGCTTATTTTTCAGAAAGGAAACAAGTGTTGCTGTCTCTGGAATAGTCCACATCAAAGATCACAGTATCACCAGGCATTGTAGCGCAGTCTGGTGTCGATAGGCCCTACCTAGAAGTACGTTGCCGGTCAGGAGTGAACTGGGTCAGGGAAGCTCACACAGTGGTGTCCCCCCTGTGCCTGGCTTTCCCCCAGTGCTTTAAATAGCCTTTTTTTAAATTTAAAAATTGGTTAGCAGGGCCAGATTCTCCGCGTGTATACAGGCGTGGCTCCATGCTGGCCAGTGGCACCGCACTGTTCATCTTGCTTGAACATCTGGCCCACAGGCTTTAAAAGTGGTGACACAGTTACATGGAACACATCATTACACTTGGCTCTCTCCTTCTTGCTGGCTCCTGATGAGCCTGGCATTCTCTGGGAATGAATGTGTTGCCTTTCTAGAGTCTTTCTAGTGTGCCGGTGGGACCCCAGAGACTAGTGCAATGGAGAAAGATCCACCGGTGCAATGGAGAAAGATCTAAGTGAATATTTAACCAGCACTACACAATAACTGCCTCCCAGAAGCTCACTGACACTACTGACAAGGGATGCAGTCACTCTGTGTGCACTTGGAACTACATCAGAGGGTAGGGAGCTTAAGGTTGTTCCAAGCGATGCTTGCTATATTCTACAGTAAAGCTGCAGCATACATACGCAAGATCAACAAATAATCACTTGACGTATGACGTGCTGCTGCTTTGATCACCTGACTGGGGTTTTTTTGGTCTTACAGTAGACGGAAAGGCTTTTGTGCTTGCCCTGTGATCACTCTCATGATCATTGTCCTGAAGAGAAATATTCTTCAGAGAAGCCAAAGATAGTGGAGGGCATATTGAAGGCAATGTGCAGAGCCTGCTGCGGATGAAGCAGGTAGTGCTTTCCTTGCAGATAGGTGCCTATCTGTTGTTCCCCAAGAGAGCAGCTTTGCAGAAGAAAGACACTTCATTGTTCGTCCACCAGTTACAGAGTGCCTGAATGCCAGTACATGGCATTAGTAGCATGAGGAAAAGAAGGATAACAGCAAAAGGACACAAGAAGATGAGTCTCTCAAGGCCAGTACAATTTACAACCACCCCTTACGTTATTTAGCTATTAAATCTTCTGTTCTCCTTTGTTTTGACAGAGACCAGGAGGGCCCAGCAATGTCCTACGTGATGCATGTCTAGTCGCCAATGTCCTGGATCCCAGAATCAAACAGGAAATCATCAAGAAATTTATTAAACAGCACCTCTTGGAATACCTGGTACTTTTCCAGGAAAACCAAGATGTAAGTGGGACACAGCAGTGACTTTTGGACGTTGTGTTTTTTGGGAGGGGGAAGATTTTTCTCTGTTAGCATTTGTTGATTTTTGTATGTGTGCAGCTTATTTTTGTAATATCTGCTTTTAAACAGCATGTGAGAGATGAGTAATGACTCGATGATGTGACACTGGCTGGATGATGAATTGGGCTGAGATGTGATCTAGTGTGCTACTTTCTCATTTGCTGGAGCCCAAATAATTTCAGCGGAAGCTTTTCATCCTATGAAAAATTTCAAGATATTGAAGAATTCTTTTCTTGTGAATAGAATGAATATATCAAACTCTGAAATACTTGCAGACTGAATATCTAAAATCAGTCTGGGTCACCAAAGAAGCCCAAACTGCAAAATATTGCATTAAAAACCAAACCAAAACATTTTGAGAGCTTTAGACCTCATTTTAGTTTTTGCTTGTGAATCAGAGCATTCATTCCAACCAACACCTTTCCCATGAAGGGTTTTGGTTTTGTTGAATTGTTTTTTTCTACCAAATACATGGTGTTGAAAACTTCCCATCCAGCTCTCCTAGCAGACATCCTGGAGCCGCTAACGACCCAAACACCAGAGTCTGAAAACTAAGTGAATGTGAGGATTCTCATTCCAAAGACAGCCTCTTGGGTCCCAAATTTCTCATAGGTGAAAGGGGAGCCTGTATCTCACAAGGGGTCTTGGGGTTAAATAATTGATGCAGTTGGGGGGGAGATTTCAAAAACATCTAAGTAACTTAACGAGTGCACCGCCTGTTGGCTTTCAACCAGACCTGCTCTCTGAAGTCACTGAGGCTGGTCTGAAAATGCCAGCCTGCATCTTAAGCATTTTAAAGATGTGTTGTTCATGTGCCAAGTATTATTAACGTTGGCCAGTTCTGTAGGACTGTAAGATGCTTAGCCCCACTCCTACCCTGAAGTCACTAGACTACGGTTAAGCAAGCTGTTTGCATGCGAGCAGCTGCAGGCTGTTAAGTTCTGTGTTTTCCACCCCGCTCAGGTGGCCTGGCTTGATAAAATCGACAGGCGCTACGCTTGGATAAAACGCCAGCTGGTGGACTACGAGGAGAAGTATGGCCGCATGTTTCCCCAGGAGTGGTACATGACGGAGCGCATTGCCGTGGAGTTCTGTCATGTCACGAAGTGAGTGTGCACGCAGGCAGATCGCGATGCTTTCCAGCCTGGTAAAATCCCCCAAGAAATACTGTGGCAAATGAGGTACCTTTTGCCAAGCAGAGAGCAGGCCTGGAGGACTTGAAAATGCTGTCTTGAAGTGCTGTTGTTAGTATGCTTAGGGCCTGTGACCTAAAATACAAACCCAGTTCAGGTGGCAGTCAGGAAAGAGACACTCAGAGCTTATATTCACATGCAGATATCAGAATGATAGGGCAGGAGAATGCTTACTCCAGGAGAAGGACAAATCAGTTGCGGTAAAGATGACGGGGGAGCTATGAACTGACTGCAGCCTGGTGTCTCTCAGAGCTGGGTACTTGAAAGGCAAATGTCCCAGGAGAGCAGCAGATATGCGCTAGCCCAGACCTCAGAAGCACTCCTACCTGCTGCTCCTTTGACCCCAATTACAGGCCCAGCTCTTGCCAAAGCTTTGTTGCTGTAGGTTTTCCTGCTTTAAGCATGGCACGTTGGGGGTTTAGTGCTGGGATCCAGTTACACGCAAACCTCAAACAACTGTAGTAATGGATTCTGGAACGTGAGCTAGATGGAGGTTTAGTAGTTCAAGGGAAGTGGTTTAGAAGTTAGCTTGCATTTTGTGATGGGAGCTGGCTCTGCTGGGATGTGACTGGGTTTCATCTTTAGGCTTTGAACGTTTTTTTCCCTTCATATGAACATAAGTAATTAATATTTCCTTTCACTTGCAAAACCACATCCTTTCCTTGTTTTGTTCCCCGCTTTTAGGACAGAGCTGGCTAAGATCATGCGCACAAGAGCTAAGGAGATTGAGGTGAAGTTGCTTTTGTTCGCCATTCAGAGAACCACCAACTTTGAAGGACTGCTGGCTAAGCGCTTCTCAGGTTGCACTCTAGCCGATGGGACGGTGGTAAGAACCTTTTGGAAGAACAGCCCTACATTCCCAGATCTTAGGTAGGAGAAGCTTCAGCCCTCCCATGTCACTGTGACCCTAAAGGATGTCCTTTACAGCCTTCATCTGGAGAGATGTTAGCTGGCATTGGAGGGTGAGAGCATACAGTGTGTTTGTGCGTGGCAGATTGGAATTACACGTGAGGGATTCTTGTGTCTCCATCTTGTACCTTGAGGGTGCAAGAAGGGAATAACATAGACTATGCTAGTTCAGTGCTCCTAGCCCACTTTCACTGACTGCTGAAGCCATTTTGCAATGGCGAACCACAAATGAATGGTGCCACAGTATATCCACCAGAAAACACCTTTGTTTGCATGTGGATATGACCCTGCAGCTAAATGTCGTCTCTTCTCTCTGGTCCTTTTGTATTGCTTCAGGGGAAAAGGCCATTCTCTTATACCACATGTTTCATGTGGTTCATTCTTACTTAGAATAGCAGCTTGGGAAAAGGGAGTGTGATGGTCTCCTGTCTAATGTGTCTCATCTGTCGCTGCTCAGAGCTGTGCTTGTTACTACTACATCTGTTTAGCTTAGGGGCTCTCCTTGTGGTCATCCTTCTCCTTTTTCTTCCTGAAATCCAAACCACGTGACCTGCTAGCTAAATGTCTACACAGGCCCAGAATTACAGTCTCACTGCTCCATGCTGGTTGTTGATGCCTGTTTGGTTAAAATGGCTCTGACCAGAGCTCATCCTGATAAGTGAAGGCATTTGTGATTTGGGGCAAAACCATGAATGCTGCTAACTAAAGGGACTTCTGTGACTGATTGATTTAGCAGCTCCTGAGAATCTGATTCACCCAGAATATTACAGATGACCCTTTTTAATGAAACTGGCTTAGATGGGTCATTCTCAGTGTCCCTTTGGAGATGAAAGAATATAAGAAGATGGTGATGAAATTATAAGAAAGAACAACAAGCACGGAAGAAGATTTGAAGTAAAGAAAACATGGAGATTTTTTGGCAGCTCTTCTTCCCCTCATTCCCTGTGTGGTCCATGAAGCCCTGAGCTGCTGTCAGTTTTGCTCTTGAAAGAATTAATGGAGTGTATAATTATACATGAGTATATGGACCATACGCGGTGGGGACAAGCAGCAGAGTGTGAGCAGTATTGCTGGATTTACGGCAGCAGTGTTCCTGTGTCTGCATTTAAGGGGTGTGTCAGCACTTCTTCAGTAGAGTCCCTGTTGTCAGGGGCTTAAAGCTGAGACAGATCAATACAGTCAGAGCATGAACTGGCCAGGGAGAATATTTTCCCTTCCTTGAGCCTAGGACTGTGCAAAATAGAGACCTGTTTTGGTTTCAGGCAACGTTCACTGTCAGTGGAAGTTGGAAGGAGGCTGGGGGATTGCTGGGATGTGGTGGGTACACAAAGGTTGAGAGCCCACCTCACTTTCTGCTGACCCCCTTATGGCCAGCTGGGACAGATGAGTCTGCTCCCGAGCCATGGAGTTCCAGACCCTTTCTTTGGGGCTTTCCAGTACTGACTTGAGAAGAAAGGAACAGAGCAATGCACCCCAATTCTTCTGGGTTAGCAGGGTTGTGGTGCACTGTCCGCAGCACCTGGCAATGCTCTTCAACAGTCCAACCTGTTCAGGATCCTTAACTTCACAAGCAGATGTCTGGATGTCCCTTTTGCGTTTTCTGGGTTTCTCAGTGGTCTGTAGATTTATGGCTATGAGAGAGCCTGACAGCGAGAAGCCAAAAGGGTTTAGTCAGGCAAAGGAAGAAGGCAGCAGTGCAGTGACTATTACAGAAGAAAACTCACTTATGGGTATTCTTTCTTTCAGCAGAAGAAGCCAGAGCTGCCGCCTCCCTCTACAAACCCATTTCTGGATGATGAACCTGGGACGGAGACGGATGAAACCATGATGGAGAAAAGTGATATAGACAGAGTAAGTTTTCCGGTCTCCTCATCAGCAAGCCAGGGGAGTTCCAGCATCAGAGTCTCTGCACATCCCTAAGGTTTTCCTTTCAGATGCATCGGAGGGGGTTTTTTTCATTGTGATGCTCAGAGTGTGAGTTTGGTCCAGCTGAATTGAAACTGCAGAACCTGGACTGATAAAAGCCAGACGAGAATATGGTTGGTTGGATTCCTAGATCCCAGACAGATCTTGCTGTATGGGCAGTCTGGGAATCATATTTTGCTTTGTCTACTCAAGAAATTTAAATCTGGAGTCACTGAGTGAGAGTAAATACAGCAAGCTCATTATGCCTTTCTTTATAGCCTAATTTTTCTCACTCAAAACATATTATTGGATTAGTTCACATTAGTATTATTTCATGGTGTTTTTCTCCTCTGTTACCTCTGTAATGACGGTGAAGCTAACCACTTTTGTAGTGCTTCACATCTCTAGGGCAGTGTAGGGTCATTAAAAGGAAAGACCTGAGCACAGTAGTGTTGTAAGAGGCACCAGTATCAAAGTGCACAGGCCCCTTGTTTTGCTCTGCAGTGTTAGATTTCCTAGTGTTAATAGCACCTTTGTGTTCTGTGCAAATGTACAGCCCCTTGAACAATGGTGCCGTGGTCCAGGACCTCCTGGCACTTGCTCAATACAAACACATAATAACAGAGATCCTAAAGTAGAATTTTTAAACCAGGGTGTCTTTCCATTATCAAACTCAGAACAGTGGCTTATTGTCCTGGTGATGTTGGTG